TGTGTGTGTGATGCTGTTGTGTGTCTGTGATGCTGTTGTGTGTCTGTGATGCTGTTGTGTGTCTGTGATGCTGTTGTGTGTGTGTGTGATGCTATTGTGTGTGTTTGTGATGCTGTTGTGTGTCTGTGATGCCGCCTCCAGAGCCGCGCCCTGCCGCCGCTGCTGCCTCCCGGTGTGTGTCCTCCTCACCCCGGCGTCCCCGCCACCCGCAGCAGCTCCTCCTTGTTCAGCCCGGTGAACTTCACCTCCTCCGGCTCCTCGTCCGGGATCTTCAGCTTCACGGATCCGTTCTTCTCCCCCTCGTCGCCCGCGGCGGACGGAGCCTCGGCGGCCCGCTCCGCTCCGCCGGTCATCGGCAGCTTCTCCTGCTCCTCCTGGTCCAGGTCCGCCTCGCTCACATCGGCCTCCGTCGCATCAGCATCCGGAGCCGGAGCCGGAGGAGACGCAGGAGGAGGAGGCTCCGCCGGCTGCTGCGGCTCCGCGTCCTGGGCCGGAGCGTCCTGCAGCTCCACGTCGGTCTCCGCGGCGGTCATCACGGTAACGGACACACAAACGAGCGACAGCGGCGGAGGGTCTTTGTGTGGATCAGTCCGTCTGTCTGTGTGACTGACTGACTGGTGCTGCCTTCACACACCGTCGGACAAACGACAACCACAGTCTGGAAGCTCTGGTTTAGAGGCTCAGGAACACACACACACACACACACACACACACACACACACACAGTTTTCATCTCAGAGGTGTTTGTTTGTTGTTAAACATCACATCAGATGAGGTGTGTTTTACGATACGACCACAAAGCAACACTAAACTACACAAAAACCATACAAAAGACACCAAATGACCACGAAGAAGTACAACAAAAGCCTGAAAATGATCAGAAAGGCCACAAAATGACAGCACAAATTTACAACAAAAAGCCGCAACATGACCATAAAATCATCCAAAATTGCCTCAAGGTGGCACAAAAATAACAAAAAACACTCAAAATGACGACAAAAAGCCACAGAATGATCACAAAAAGACAAGAAATGATCACTAAATGACTGCATCAACAAAACAAATTGACAAAAAATACCTAAAGGATCACAAAATTGAGAAAAGCGGCCTCAAAATGGCACAAAGTGACAACAAAAAGACAAAAAATGACAATAAGACACACAATGCCATCAAAAAGAAAGGAAATGTCTAAAAAGGTACAAAATGACCACAAAAACCAAAACATGACCACAAAATTACCACAAATGTGCACACAGTGGCCCACAACTACAAAGAATTACACAAAATGACGACAAAAAAACTGAAAATGGCACCAAAAAGACACAAAATTACCACAAAAACACTCAAAATGAACAGAAAATGGCATTAAATGATGACAAAATGGCTCAAAAATGACAACAAAACACTCAAAATCTCAACAAAAGGAAAAGAAATGATCACTCGACAGCATCAACAACAGAAAATGACCAAAAAAACCCCAAAAGGATCACAAAGTTGAGAAAAGTGACCTCAAAAAGGTACAAAATTATCACAAATGTGCAGATAGTGGCGCTCAACTGCAAAGAATTACACAAAATGACATCAGAACGAGACTAAATTACCGAAAAAACACTCAAAATGAACAGAAAATGGCATTAAATGATGACAAAATGACATGAAGACATGTAGTGCATCCTATTTTAAAACAACCCGAGTCGACCAAAAGACAAACAGAAATGCACAAATAGCAAAACAGACAGAAAACAGGAAATAACCAGAAACATAACGAATCTAAAATAAAACAGGAGAAAAACTTCTAAAGTGAAGTAAAGATGTTCAGAAGTGAGTTAAACCACAACATAAACTACAATAAATCAGGACATTTTCATGGGTTTCAATAATTTATTTGCTTCCGTTGCAGAGAAACCAACATTTTTCATTATTCAGTTGATTTGTGCTGCTTCGGTTGTTCTTCGTGCTGCTTTACTTCCTGTTTTCTCCGATTGTCTGTTTCTGGTTTTATGGTCTGAAGGCGTTTATTTAGACTGTTTGCTAGAAGCTGCATGTTGTAGGAGACGAGATGCTGCACATCTCTGTGTTCAGTCTAATCTAAATGCTGTGTGTGGACGTCTCGTTTTAGAACCTTGTCTGTCGCTCAAACTGTAAAATGTCTGCAGACATGAAAGCAGCTTCTTTTCCTTCATCTGTACGACAACAACCGCACGAAAAGGTCCATAAATAAATAAATGGAAAGGTGATTAAACAGAAGAATAAAAGTCATCGGTGTTAAACTCATATGTCAGACACACAGTCTAAGTGAACTTGTTCCTGTCCTGTGAGCTCTAACTGATGTTAAGTCAGATTTCTGAGGGACTCTGAACGCACCATTAAACCAGATCGACCCAGTTTTTATATTTAAAGTCAAAATCAGAAGAAAAATCAAATCAAATCAGAATCTAGAAGCAGAAGAGCTTCAGTCTGTAGATGTGTTTTTGTGTGTTGTATTTAACGCGCGTGTGCGTGTGTGTGTGTGTCCAGCCGAGTCAGCAGCCCTGCAGACTGCTGACCAACAGTTTGTTGTGTTTCCGCTGTGTGTTGTCCATGCCGTTTATTTTACAGTTGTAGATCTCAAAAGTCACAAAATGGCCACAAAAAGACACAAAACTGTCATAAAAGTACGCAAAATGATAAACTGAGGCAAGAAGACAACAAAAAGACACAAAATTATCATAAAGAAACAACAAATGACAAAAATTAAACACAAAAACATTAAATGACCTCAAAGAAATGGACACAAAATGACCAAATGGCATAAACATATGACAAAATGACAACAAAAATGTAAACATTACACAAAATAAACACAGAAAGACAAAGTGAGACAACAAAAGGATTCATCAAAATGCCCACAAGTCACAACAAAATGATAACATCAGGAACACAATGACAAGAAAGACTGACAAAAGTCCACAAAAACACAAAACGACAATAAAAAACTAAATGACACGAAGTGAAATCTAAAATTGACATAATTCTGAATGAAGTCTGGTGCTACAGATGTCTGGTTAAAAACTGTGCTTCAGGGGGGAAGAAAATTAGAATTTCATGTAAAATTTGCGTAATTTTGGTTGAAATCTGGAACTATTTGATCAAAGACTTGAGACACGTCAGCCAGAAACATTCATCAAGAGTTCTGTAGAAACATTCAGACCGACCGGCAGCAAGAGACGAGCAGAAGCAAGTCCAAAATCTGAAATATTTTGAATGAAGTCTGGTTCTGCAGACTGAATGAAGTCAAGCTTTAAACTGACAAAGGATTTGGAGAAAATCTGGAGAAAAATGATGCAGTGAGGAAATGCTCTGTTGATGAGAGGTCAGAGGTCAGACAGAAAACTGCATTAACTCAGATAATCATTCTTTAAAACTGTACTCAGCAGAGGAGCAGCTCAGACTTCTATCAACAGCCTCTGGGTTGATGGACAAAATGTAAAAAACTGTCAGGTATGGCAAGCTGATCAAACCGAACCGGACTTCATTCAGAATTTAGCCAATTTTAGAATAGATTCTAGTCTCTATTCTCTATCTCTTTGTCTTTTTTTCTGTCAGTCTTTTTTTTAAACATAACTTCACTCCCTCTGCACAGAAGCATAAAGGACCAGACCTCATTCAACATATTCCCAGTTTTATACTTGACTTTATTCAGTTTTTTAGTGGCTGCACAGACTTAGGCAGCACCAGACTTCAGTCAACATATTCCTAATTTTAGACTTGACTTAACCCAGTCCTTGATTATTAACAATAAATGAAATAAATCAATAAAAACCTAAACAGATATTAAAGAAGTTGCAGAATAATTCTACGCCAATCGACTATTATTAGTTTTATATATATATATATGTGTGTGTGTGTGTGTGTGTGTGTGTTATTTTACAAACTCTTCATATGTTTGTTTGAGGAGAAATCTGTGGAATAAAATAATGGAATCAAAAGTACAACTTTTGCGTAGCAAGAAAAAAGAATCACCTAAAGGACCTCAAAAATATGATTAGGTGCCGTATTTGAACTGATGCAGCTACTTAGTTGTATGACACATCAGGTTGTAATTGAATAATGACTTCATTTTATTTCAATTCAAGTCAACTTCAAAAAATGTATTTGTCTCCTGGGAGCCATGGATCAACAAATATATGCATAAGATGCTAAATGGGTCAGAGATGCAATTTCATTTGATTATATGTCAGCCGAAATAAAGAGCAGCTCCAAGTTGCTCAGAGAAATTATTCAAATTTATATTTATTTTATTTTATACACAGTAAAGCAGCGGTATTTTAAAAAGTACCTCAGTTTCTGAGTGTAATTCAGTATTAGCGTTACACCACAAAGAGTGAGACCGTATCCAGAGAAGCTAACACTGAACTCGCTCAGTTTTGCTCTAAATTACGGAGCACTTCTCTTTTATCCTAAAAATCGTCATGTAAATATAGAATTTTACCACGTTTCTGAACCACACAGACATGCTCTTCAATTCGGCTTACACACAGTCCAACTGCGATCCATTTCAAGTCATTTTAGGTTATTTTTTTTTATATTTCTTACTCTGTTCAACAATGGCTTAGTTCCATACCACTTCCTGTTGTAGATATAAATCACCTCTTTTTGATTAAATATATGTTAGCCGAAATTAAGAGCAGGTCTGACTTGAAAACCTCTTATAATTGACATTTGTCGTTATTTATCGACAGTAAAGCAGCAGTAGTTTAAAATATTGCTCAGTTTCTGAGTGGAGTTCAGTGTTAGCTTAAAGCCACAGCGGCTGATAAAGGGCGAGAGGGCATCCAGAGAGGCTAGCACGGAACCCCCTCAGTTCTGCGATAAATTATGGCAGTTTTCGGCTTTATGGAGAAAATACTGAGGATAATTTTGAAACTAGACAACCTTTCTACACTACAGAGAGGTGATCTTATATTCGGCCTCCACACTGTCCAGCAAAAATGTATTTTCAGTTCATGTTTGGGACATTTTCCCTGAACAGTTCCTCTTTTTTGTTGGTGTGTCCTGAATTAATTTCACGTCATAGAATTTTAGAGGAAATCAAAATAAATAGAAAAACATTTTGTTTTAAGTCTTCAAACGGTATATAAATGAAACCAAAATTTATATTACGTCAATGTTTTTGTGTTGTTGTGAATAAAGTTAAAATTTTTAAAAAAAAAAATACTCTTCTTAAGGTCGTAATAGATTTAGGGAGAAAGTCGCTGTGTTTTCTAATCTAGATGCCTTTTAGCGATTCTTGATATTAAAAATACAATAAATGTTCACATTTAAAAGCTGGCACCAGGTGATTTCATCTTAAATCTTTGTCCACAGTGACGGATTCGGTCCCTTCTCGGTTCCACCTTAAACCCGGACACATGTCTGAGCTGCAGCCGGAACCAGCTTACTGCTCATTAACTGGGTTTCTGGAGGTTTTCTGGGGGTTTTACTGGTTTTAATGGTTCACCATGAACTTCTGTGAAGCCAAGTCGGAGCTGAAGCAGCTGCTGAGCAGAGTGGATCCGTCCGAAATGCCGAAGCTGCTGGACTGGATGAAGAACTCAGGTAAACACACCTGCACGTGTTCAGCTGGTCCACCGGAGGACTGGTCGCTCTTCTGCTCATCGTTTTAAACATTATTTCTAAACTTCAGGTCCACAGAAACACACTGCAGTCACCAGATAGACAGCAGACGGAGGCCTGGTCTCACAGCTTTAAGTTCAGTATCTCATGTGATTTATTTCATCCTGATGCTGAGAATTAAATCAGAATCCGGATTTTAAAAGTCGCCGTATTATCTGTGAGAAGCTTTTCTTTGCTGTGAACTCACAGATGTTCAGTCAGCTGGTACTGGATCACTGTGATGCTGAAAGAAACGTTAAAACACGAAGATTCTCAGGCGGGTTCTGCAGCGACTAGGATTTCATCAAAATAACAAAAACAATAACAACGAATCAGTCACTAAACGAAATGATTGAACAGTTGTTTTTAAAAGAACTAACCACATGTCAAAGTGAAATAAA